TTGCATTTATTTTGGTCTTTTTCTTTTTTCATTTGGTTTAACCACATTGTTGATGTAGTGAACCTAATTTTTTTCTGACTGCTCGTTAGTCAATTCGATTTCTTGAGATAAGGCATTGGTTTCGTTAATGATACCTAAGTGTCATAATTGTTTACCAAAATATTATAGATTAAGGTGACTTAAGTGAGCATAGAAAATGCATTGACTTTTTATGCTGTTGGATTAAACAGTTTTTCTGTTGTCCGAAGCTACGTTTGAGTGTAGTTCAGAATTAAGTGGTGAAAAGGGGAAAAAAAAAAGGAAGGAAAAGCTCAAGAGCGGATGATTTGGATCGGTTTTTGTTTATTTGCATTGAGCTGTGAAATATTGAGCCTTATTGTTTGAACTTAAAAATTTTTTAGATGAGAAATGCAGCAAGGTCTCGTAATGCCCGACCGGAAACATCTGGAGTTGCATCACCATGGGACGACGAAACCAGGCAGATGCTCGTACAGAATCCTGAAACGGGCAGCTTTTATGTACCAACTGGATCCGGTAAGATGTTTTTTTTTTTCTGGTTGTTCTTGATGCTGTTTGCTTTTTTTTCTTCTTTTTTATTTGTTGTTACCATATCGGTATCAATTATTATTTGATTTGTAGCCGTCAATGAGTGTACTATTAAATTTGACAATATTGCAAATAGCATTGTTTTGTTTTCATTGTTAATTGGCGCTAAATTCATTCTTTTTTCTGCCTTAAATTTAATTAAAAGCTTTAAATTGATTTCAAAAAAAGGTGCAAAAATTACAACGTTTTACCAGTTTTGTTTATATTACGACTTAATTAGTCAGCTTCGGTTGACCGTTCAATTTTTTCTATTGTCTTTTCTTTTGCATTGCCATTTTCAAGTGGTTGCGCATTGTTCAATTGAAATTGTCAAAAAAAGTTTATTTGAATTAAACATTTTTAATGCCTATTGGAACTGTTCAAATGGGGTTGTTTATTCGTTTCAACAGATTTTTTCAACTTTAAAGCTGGAAGTCTTCTATATTCCTATAGAAGTCAAATACATACATCGATCAATCATCAAGGCGAAAAAAAAAGGACACATCAAAAGGTTGGGGGACTGAAGGTGGAAAGAGGGGGGTTAGAATGAGGTTGGAAATTGTCGCCAAAACAGCACCGTCTTCGTGTTGGAACCTTTTAGTTACAAAATTTTGAAGTTTTTATTGGCATTACTGTAGAATTTTTTGGTAAAGATTTTTAAGCATGGTTAATCGTTGATATCGTTGGTCGGTGGAGATCAGCCGAAATTGGTTGATGTGAAATTGCAGTAAAACTTCTGTGGAGAGTGAAATCGTTGGCGAACGGCCTGTAAAATTCTGAGGAAGCAGTTTGCAAAAATCTTTAAAATCTTAGTTTATTTTACTTCTGAAGGAAAAAGATGTCATTTTTTTTTGTTTATTGTGTGTTGGTTTAATTGATGTCTAATGGAGTTTTTTGCTGTTCTTTTTTTTTGACGAAAGTCAGAAAAAAGATTTTTTTTTGGCTAGGAATATGTGATGCTTATGAACATAGTGGCAAGATGAAAAATGTTTCTTTACTTTATTTTATTTTCACTTTCAATTTTTTTGGGAAATTTTTGGTTTGATAAGTATAGGCGAAAATTGAACTAAAGTTTTTTGCACTGAGTTTGCTGGTTTAATGAATGTAATAAAATTGCAGTAATGCTCTAAAAACGATGTAGTTAAATACGTAGAAATACTCAAAATTTTTATAGTGATTTTTATTGGTGCTGTTGTATGAGAAATTGTTATTCAAAAAAAAAAAAAAAAAA